CCACACTACATTCTCTGACATCTCTCCTCCACCATCCACACTACATTCTCTGACATCTCTCCCCCACCATCCACACTACATTCTCTGACAGCTCTCCCACACCATCCACACTACATTCTCTGACAGCTCTCCCACACCATCCACACTACATTCTCTGACATCTCTCCCCCACCATCCACACTACATTCTCTGACATCTCTCCCCCACCATCCACACTACATTCTCTGACAGCTCTCCTCACACCATCCACACTACATTCTGATTCTTTGGCTAAAGCCATTCAATAAAAATATCTGAATTGTAGGCGGGGTCACAATACAAGATTTGTCATATCTCGAAGCTGCAGCCTACAGGAATTTATTTAACCCCACAAATTATGGAATTCCTTCTCATCTCTTTTGCATCTAGCTGGGCATCCAAATCCTTGCCTTACCTAGGTGTCTCTGTAACTCCCTCTTACCACAATCTGTATCTGGCAATATATATGCCACTTTTTTCAGCACCTTTATTTGCTCCTTTCTTCTTGTGAAGAATTTGGGAAACTTGTCTTAGCAGGACAGCAGGGGTAAAAATTTGTTGCCAAAATTTTGCCCGAGTCTTGCAGTCTTCTGGTCTGCATTCTGTCAAACATTCTGCATCTGTCAAAAATCAAGGTGACCTTAGCCTCCCACTCTTTCATAATTACTATCATGCAGCGCAGCTTGACCAGATATCTCTTTGACACCCTGCTCAGTGGATGCCCCTCTGGGTACCTGTTCAGGCATATTTGTGTTCCCAAATTTAGATCAATAGCCTTCTATGGGTGTCACCGAAACATCACGCCTCTGTCACGTTACGAGACTCTTCGGCCTCTCCAATCTAAGCAAACTTACAGTTGTGGCGAGATAGCGACACCCAACAATCTTAGCTGCTTTGGCAGACAGTGACTCCATCCAGAAGACACCTTGAAGATCTCTGAGAAGTGTAAACCAAAACTGTGAGGATCTTACAACAGTGAACATCGGAGAGGTCAGAAGATCATAATGTGATCCACTCAATGAAATGACACGTGGCTGAGATACAAACTGGACCAGAATGAGGAAGGGAGGAGCTATCTATACAGAGGAACACTGAGCTATGGGGAGCGGAGGAGAGGAACACCGGGGACAGATGAAACACATACAATATTTAAAGACCCATCACAATGCATGTGACACATGACAATGACATTATGACAATGCTTGACTGATGGATTCGTGGATTTCGTCCCTCTGTTACAACCCCAATAAACACACAGACTCAGCGACATGGATTTAAACTGCCACAGCAGCCATTTTAATAAACAAACCAACTTTAACAATAACCAAAAGTAATAAACTAAATAATATACAAATAAATACTCTAAACGACTGTTGACCTGAGAAGGGGTCTTTGGGTGCCCAACAGCCTAAATAAGGCCTCTCCTAAAAAACTGCTCCCATGTCCCCAGCCGAACCCCAACCAGCTCAAGGACAATTACTACTCACACGTTCCAAGAGGCCAGACCCTGCCCCCTACAAATCCTGACACCAACGGAGGGAAGCACCTATACTAGCCAATGGCCCCCCATTTATGTAATTGTCTCTGAATTTTTTTAGACCCCCCAAAGACCCCCTAACCCGCCAAGCTGCCGGGACAGAAAAAGAACCCTGCAACCAGCAGAACCACGCAATTCAGGGAGGGAGGCAGGGTGGGACAACCTGCTTCCTCCATCGATTTTCCAGAAAGAACGCCCCTCAGCTCTTGCAGTTCCTACCCATGCGGCTCCTCCCGGCCAGCTGACCCCAACGACCAATCAGGTCAGAACAGCTTTTCCCATTTTATTTTGAACCACTTCTCCGGGGACTATCCCCCCCGTCATGTAGCTCCTCCGCTCAGTCTCTCTGTATCTATCTTTAAAATGATTACCATCGAGGTAAGGAGAATCCTTCTTCCTGATGACCACCCTTTTTCTTTTATACCCTACAGTTGTTCTATGGACTATCTTACAATTGTTCTATGCACTAAACAGTTCCACCTGTGAAAAACCATCGTATATTTGTCATAAGAACCAGCTGGCGCTGTCTATTTAGACTTCTTTTCCCACAGTCAGTGAGGACGCTCTGCAGTATTTTTCTCGGTGGAAGATTTGCTACAGGAATAAGGACGCTCACCCGTGTGACTTCTCCGGTGTGTAACAAGGTCTCCTTTCTTAATGAATGATTTCCCGCACTCTGAACATGAATAAGGACGCTCACCCATGTGAATTTTATGGTGGTTAACAAGGGTTGCTTTCCGAGTGAAAGATTTCCCGCACTCTGAACATGAATAAGGACGCTCACCAGTGTGAATTCTCTGGTGTATAACAAGGCCTCCTTTCTTAGTGAAATATTTCCCGCACTCTGAACATGAATAAGGATGCTCACCTGTGTGAATTTTATGGTGGGTAACAAGGGTTCTTTTCTTAGTGAATGATTTCCCGCACACTGAACATGAATAAGGACGCTCATCAGTGTGAATTTTATGGTGGGTAACAAGGGTTCCTTTGTAATTGAAAGATTTCCCGCACACTGAACATGAATAAGGACGCTCACCTGTGTGAATTCTCTGGTGTATAACAAGGTATCTTTTCTGAGTGAAAGATTTCCCGCACTCTGAACATGAATAAGGACACTCACCAGTGTGAATTCTCTGGTGTATAACAAGGGTTCTTTTCTCAGTGAATGATTTCCCGCACTCTGAACAGGAATAAGGACTCTCACCTGTGTGAATTCTGTTGTGTTTATTAAGGACACTTTTCTCAGTGAATGATTTCCCGCACACTAAACATAAATGAGGTTGCACACCTGTGTGAATTTTCTGGTGTTTAACAAGTTGATCTTTATAACTGAATGATTTCCCGCACTCTGAACATGAATAAGGCCGCTCACCTGTGTGAATTTTCTGGTGATGAACAAGGGTTCTTTTACGAGTGAATGATTTCCCGCACTCTGAACATGAATAAGGCCGCTCACCTGTGTGAATTTTCTGGTGATGAACAAGGGTTCTTTTACGAGTGAATGATTTCCCGCACTCTGAACATGAATAAGGCCGCTCACCTGTGTGAATTTTCTGGTGATGAACAAGGGTTCTTTTACGAGTGAATGATTTCCCGCACTCTGAACATGAATAAGGCCGCTCACCTGTGTGAATTTTCTGGTGATGAACAAGGGTTCTTTTACGAGTGAATGATTTCCAGCACTCTGAACATGAATAAGGTCGTTCACCTGTGTGAATTTTCTGGTGTTGAACAAGTACTGCTTTATGAATGAATGATTTCCCGCACTCTGAACATGAATAAGGACGCTCACCTGTGTGAATTTTCTGGTGTATAACAAGGGCTCCTTTATGAGTGAATGATTTCCCGCACTCTGAACATGAATAAAGACGCTCATCAGTGTGAATTTTCTGGTGTATAACAAGGGCTCCTTTATGAGTGAAAGATTTCCCGCACTCTGAACATGAGTAAGGTCGGTCACCTGTGTGAATTTTCTGATGTATAACAAGGGCTCCTTTCTGAGTGAAAGATTTCCCGCACTCTGAACATAAATAAGGACGCCCACCAGTGTGAATTCTCTGATGTATAACAAGGTCTCCTTTTTGAATGAATGATTTCCCGCACTCTGAACATGAATAAGGACGCTCACCTGTGTGAATTCTCTGGTGTATAACAAGGACTCCTTTTTGAATGAATGATTTCCCACACTCTGAACATGGATAAGGACGTTCACCTGTGTGAATCTTCTGGTGTTTAACAAAGTCTGCTTTGCGAATGAAACATTTTCCACACGCTGGACATGAATAAGGACGCTCATCCATGTTTATACTTTGGTGTCTAAGAAGGTTTTTGTTTTCAATTAAAGATTTCCCACACATTGCATGTGAGTAAAGATTTTCACCTCTGTGATCTCCTTTATGGGGTGAGGAAGGTTCCTTGGGATTAGATGGATCTCTTGCGGTGTGAGATCCTAAATTGATATTTCCAGTCATAGGATGTGAATGATCAGAAGATTCACCCTGATCAGAGGGATCCATTGATGTCTCCAAACAGGAAGGTCGGTGATGTATATTTTGTGTGTTTGGATTGACTCCTGGAGAATCCTGTGTGATGACATTATCTTCTGACTTACAATCAGCAGATAATATAAGATGTCTCTCCGAGGTATTCCTGACATCACATCCATCTGCTGGAGAGAAATTTTTACACACGTCAGTAATCAGTCATGTATGTTGGTCTAGAAGTCATCACAGAGCTCTGGCATGGAATTGGGTACAACGTAACACGACATGTAAAAACAAATGACATAAAAGGATAAAACACCCAAAACAACTCTGACACACTGGGCAAAATAGTTTTGTGAATTAATCACGGCTATGGAGAATAAGAGAGACGGACCTTCCATATGGTGTACAGTATCTCCTCCTCATTTGTTGGTCACATGACGTTATATTGAGGAATGGAGATGGACCTTTCATATGGTGTACAGTATCTCCTCCTCATTTGTATGGGTAAGTGGTGGGGTTGGAATATAAATAATATTTTTATTTTACCAATAATAGATTTTTATATTCACTAAAAAAAAATGTTCTCTCATTGGGTGACACAGCATTTAAATTCTGGATACATGCCCTGCCTCTGGGAAATTGGGGAAAATAAAAGGTACAACTGCACATAGCGGCTATACCTGTGTACAAACTGTGCAAGCCCAGGAATAGCAAGCAGTGAACAAATGACTGGAAAAAAAATAACCTTCTTAAACTATCATCCTAACTACGGGCAACAAACTATAAAAAAATGATGGTCAGGATATGTGAACCCTCAGGAACTGCTGGAGAAAAGGATTAAACAAGGAGTCAAAAAGTCAATTTTTCTCCCATTGAGCTAACTCTACCAATGAGTTAGCTTATCGGTCACTGTTACAGGATCAAGGACTGGGTGACTATTTTATTATAGACCTCAGACCACATTGAGCACCTAACCCTTGCAGCACAGGGGTAGCTCCACTACAAGAGTTAAGTTGTCATTTGCCCAGAGTTCTTCTTAAAGATTTCTCAATCCAAGGTTTTTGGATGTAAACCATCATTCCTCCATGACAATGGACCCAACATTTGTATGTAGAACATTTCATGAGTTTATTTGCTGTAAATGACCCCCAACCATCCTAACACTAATCAGGAGATGACGACCCTTTCATCCTACAATAGGGGAGATGACTTCTTCTGGTCCACCATTTATAATTCAGTCTCATCTTATCTGATGATGTAAAGATCTGATAATTCTCCAACATGATCCCTTAAACGTCGCACCTTCTACTCAGAAGTGACATAGAACTGTGACCTGTTCCCTCCATAGTGTCTGTTACTTACTTGTGTTGATCGGTAGAGAAATGTCATCCTGATCACTTTTCATCATCATCCCGACCTCTCCCACATACGTCTCCACTTCTTCCTCTTTAATCTCAGCTTTTATATTGTTCCGTTCTTCACCCTAAACCCCAAAATCATAGAAAACATCTCATAAAGCTGAACTCCGGGGAGATATAAAAGACACAAAGGAAGGCAGCTCTGCGTTTGTTTTTTTTAATGCAAACATTGTTACTACCTGAATGTGACCTGGTATCAGGTTCCTGCAGTCCCTGTACAGCAAAGCTTAGACTGGGATAGAGAGAAACAGTCTGCTGCTTCTCATTTTACTGTCCAGTCAAAGACTGGGGGAGGGACAAGACCTGTACGTGTTACTGACCTATAGCAGAGAAATACCAGGTCTCCTGCTCTGCACATTTGAGGGCAGGTCTCCTTCCTATTTCCTCTGAGCCCAGGAGCCAAGGACCCTCACCTTGAGGGCGCATCATCACGCCAGCATGAACTAACAGAAGCAAAGAACAGCACCACATATTTCAGCATGTGCCCTTTGGAGGGCACAAGGACGGAGCCTATCTATGATGTCACATGACTGGACCCAAGACCCATTGAAGAAAATTTTGTTTATACATTTTTATAAAATAATGAAAATGGAGGGTGGAGCAAGGGGAAGCTGAATTGGAATGGGTGGCAGGCTACATTTTAGATGTAAACATTAAACCAACAGACTACATAGAAGAATGTTGTCTCACAAAGTTCACTTTCACTTCTGTGTCCTATGCACCGAGTCCCACCTACCTGATCATGGTGGGGGATGGTGAGATCTTCCTGTGTGGAGTCCCGGGAATACAGAGGACGGGGACATCTCTCTGGTGGGTTTGTGTCACTGAATGGTTCCATCATGACGTCCTTGAAGGGTTCTTTGTGTTCTTCTAAAAACTCCTCCATCACACCAACCTCCTCCTCCTCTTTTATCTCGTCTTTAACATCATTATCACACTCACTCTGGTTTATACCCTGAATATTGAGAACAATGAGATCAGATGTAACTACATAGATAATGATCAGGCATATGGAAGTATCTCCTATTATTTCTCTATTTCAACCTCATGTGAGATGCTGTGATCTTCCTGTGTGGAATCCCGGGAATACAGAGGACCTCCCATCACCAATGTCTCTTCTTCTTCTTTTTTAACTTCAACTTTGATGTTTTTTAGCTCTTCACCCTAAACCCCAAAGATGATAGAAAATATCTGTACGAAGGAACCAGAGATTTTATAGGGGAATGGAATTCTACTGCCTTGAAGACATTTTGGGTTGTACATGCTGAGTCCCACCTACCTGATCATGGTGGGGGATGGTGAGATCTTCCTGTGTGGAATCCCGGGAATACAGAGGACGGGGACATCTCTCTGGTGGGTTTGTGTCACTTAATGGCTCCATCATGATTTCATTGAAGGGGTCTTTGTGTTCTTCTGAAGACTCCTCCATCACACCAACCTCCTCCTCCTCTTTTATCTCGTCTTTAACATCATTATCACAATCACTCTGGTTTATACCCTGAATATTGAGAACAATGAGATCAGATGTAACTACATAGATAATGCAGAGGTCAAAAAGTATCCCCTATTATCTATTATTTCACCTCATGTGAGATGGTGAGATCTTCCTGTGTGGAATCCCGGGAATACAGAGGACGGGGACATCTCTCTGGTGTGTTCCTCTTACTGGATCCATCTGTAGGAAACACACACACTGACTGAATACATTGTTTCTATGTGTGTATCAGATGATGGGGGATCTAGGTGGACCCTCCGTACTGCTCTCTCCTCTTACCCGGTGATGTGAGGGGCGGCTCATTCTCCATCATGACGTCCTTGCAGAGATCCTCGTGTTCCTCCATGAAGAAATAGACAGTGACACCTTATAGGAACCTGACACAAGGATTACGTTCAAGAGTCACGTGTTTGAAAAACTTTCATTAGACAAATCCCGAATCGTTCAGAATATGAGACCTTGTGGGACAGTTCTGCAATTTTTGACATGATCCCACAGTATTCATGTCCCACAAGATCCAGGACATTGTGAAGAGTGGGATTGGCTCCAAGAGCGCTCTCTGCATTCTGCACTTATGCCGGCTCTGTCAGGTGAAATTATTTTCCCAACAGTGACAGCATAGTTCCATTCATTCAGATGACCACTGGACACCAAAGATGAGGTTTAAAATGTCTCTCATAGACAACAATGGGGCTTATTATTGCACCCGCTGACCAACAATGGAAGGAGTACTCATTTTGTCTTCCACGTGAGATCACCACCTTGTGTTCAATATAAATACTTCAGTCTCCAATATGTTTCATCATTGTACAAAACACAAAAAGGTCCCCAGCACACCTGCCAGCTAGCCTGCAACAAAACCAATAGCCCCGTCTAACAGTATGCTTTAAAAGCAGAGGTTTCAGTTGCACAAACATTTGGCCATATGTGGAAATGTGTGGAAACCACACTGCCACCGCCAAGGCACCTCTGTAAAGTGTAAATAAAGCTATTTGTTTTGTTGCAGGCTAGCTGGCAGGTGTGCTGGGGGTGTTTTGTATTGTTGTCAGCCTTCCCATGTGCACCCTGCTACATAAGCTGGTTATAAATTTTATGCAGTTACTATCTTTTTCCAGTTTGACTGTTTTGGGTGTGGGACGCACTGCGGGTCCCAGCGTGCATTTTTTAATGCTGGGCCTCCAGTGTGTCCCTGCACCTTCTGAGGAGGAGTGGGGGCCTCCTGGTACACCTGCATCTAATGTATCGACTGCATTAATATGCTCCCACTTGGAGACTCATACTAATAGAGTTAGGACCACACTTTGCAGAGGTGCCTTGACGCGGCGGCGTGGCTTCCACATATTTTTGGCCAAATGTTTGTGCAACTAAAACCTCTGCTTTTAACGCATACTGTTAGACAGTGCTATTTGTTTTGTTGCAGGCTAGCTGGCAGGTGTGCTGGGGATCGTTTTGTGTTTTGTATTGTTGTCAGCCTTCCCATGTGCACCCTGCTACAGAGGCTGTTTACAAATTTTATGCAGTTACCATCTTTTTCCATGTTTCATCATTGTGCTCGCTGCCTTGTGGTCTATTGCTCTATTACGTTACATCCATGACTACACACGGATTATACCTCACATCAAATCCAGACAATACAGAAATAAAATGAAAAACAACAGCGTGATTTTTTTAAATATTAATAAAAGTGAAACTAAATAAGAAACTGTTGTAGAAAACAAACTGAAACTTTAAATACCACCTAGTGGGCTCATTTTACAAAGCTTCAATACAAGTATAAGGAGTTTTATTTTAGTCATGTGACTTTCATTTTCTTATCTCATTGAACTCCAATTAAAATTACAATCAGTTTTTAAACGGTGAATAAAGATCCATATCCTGGTGTGTTTTAGGTTTTTGGGT